AAATATTGTATGGTTTTGGTAGTGGGTTTGAGGTTTGGGGTTTTTTTGTGTGTAGGACTGTTGTTCTTGGTTTTAAAGAGAAGATGTTGCTGTATCTATTCTTCACGTGCTTGCTTATGGAGCAGAGGTTGGGGCATTCTGTGGGGCCCTGTAGTCAGGTGCTGCAAAGGTTCAACAGAGTAGCATTGATGTATTGAGCTGCTATACTAGTTCTTTTGTACTTCAAATTTTCATGTATATTTTGGATATTTTTTACTCTTTGTAGTGAAAAGCTAATCTTACGTTTACTGGATTTTGCATTCACTACCATCATTTAATTTTTTTCCAATGATGAAAGTACATTTTACTTGTGTTTAAAAATTTTCTTTCTTTGTTAAATGACAAGATGCTCCTATATTTTAATTTTTGTCTTCTGGAATTCTTACGTTGCTCTGACATCATCAAAGTAGGAATTAATTTTTAGGCTTATGCTTTTGCAGGTGAAGTAAAAGAGAATTTGTAGCTCTTTGAAATGTCTCTGCTTTGAGGCATGTCAGTATTGCAATTAATAGTGGTAGTACTTAGTATTAATCTAGAAGCAAAATCATCCAATTTTTTATTTTCCTATGTTTTTGCCTCCCACTGAGTATTTAAATGATTTAAAATGTCTGTTGGGTTCAATTGTACTGTCTTAATAAGTATTTTTTATGTTTGTAAGCAACATGAGCATTTATTCTTTGTTAGTATAGCTTTCAATTTTACATACACCAAAAGGGACAGCATTTTTTTAACTGGCTGTTGTAAACTGTGCCAGGATTGATTCTTGCATTCACTTAGTTCATACATAGAATATATTAGGTTAGCTGGAATTGTTAATTTTCCCTTGGGGAGAAGCAAATGCTCAAGGCACTGATTGATAAATCAATAAATCTTTAGTGAGTTTGGTAAATAAGCTGTCAAGGGTGTATGTCATTTTTCCTCTAGAGAACAAATTTTAGTCAGAATGAATGTGTTTGTTTCCTTGCATTGTTTTCTTCTTCAAAATAGTAAGACACAAAGCTGCATTTAAATAAGTCCATAAAATTGCAAGGATTTATTAAAGAGCAGCAAAGATCAAGCTTTTTCTTGATATCTTAACAAAGAATTCAGTTGTTTGCATATTTGCATTTCAACCCCTAACCTCTCCTGAGGACAAATAGATGTCTGACTATTAAGCCTGAAGGCACAATGCTGGAAATCTGTATTAATCCTCTGAATGCTGACTAGTTTTCCTCAGCATTCCCAGCGTGTGTGAAGAATGTGTTTTTAGCCAGAAGGCAAACTGGCATCTAAAGCAAAGCAAGAATTTTGAAAAATAGTTGTGTTATGTATAAATTTATTTTGCCCTTAGTGTTTTATTATTGCATATTTGTTTCATTATTTTATATTTTGCTTTCTTTAAAATAACTTACTTGAGCTTTTCACTCTTGCGAGCAAAGTGTTAGTCACTAGAAATGGAAATATGAACTTTGTTATTTTCAGTTTCTTCTGTTCTGGATGGTGGGGAAGGAAGGAATTACATAAAAAATGTAACAGGAATTTTGCAAATTACAGCTTAGCCTTTAATGTCAGCATTTATTAATGAACTGTAAGACTACTTACATGACTTCACTGGATATTGTAGTAGCTGTTTTGTGACGCAGAGTTTTCAGCCCCCGACTTCCGCAATATAAAGTTGTATTAATGAAATTTTTTGTCACCTTTTTTGGTATTAAAATTTATTGTGGCTAAATTTTTCAGAGAGAACTGCAGGCAACTCCATTTAGTTGACTTTTCAATTATGTTAATACCTAAGGATGGAAATTCTAATTCATTTTTTTGTAATTTTTCGTTGTTTTACAGTAGAGATACAGACTTAGATTTATACCCTAATAGTCCAGCTAGAGGTTTCTGTAGTCGGGGGAGATGAAGCAGAAGGCCCACTGAAGTCTGCTAGGGGCCTGTGTATTTGGCTACAACTGCTCTGTACATCACCACTTCGTTGGTGACCTCGGAGCTCCCACTAGCATAATCTACCACTGATGACAGTGAAAGTAGCAGAGTCTCAAAGTAATTATTACCCATAGTTCAGATTGTGGCTGATATAAGAACTAGTGGAAACATTCATTCCCCCTGATATTGAGTCAGAATTTCAGATGGCAGGGACCTTGAGAGGTTGACTAGTCCAACTTCTGACTCAGAGCAGGTTTGGTTAGATGAAGGACTTGTCCATCTATGTTCTGCGTATCTCCAAGGATGGAGATACGTTTGTACTCTTGTATTATCCTACCACTTCCTAACTGTATTGAGTAAGGCGCAGTGGCACTGCATGTAAAATCAGGCAAGTAGACAGAACCATTCGCTCAACGTGTATGGTGGTGATTATATGTTTGCAATAGTGTACCAGCTAGCCAGACGCTCCTTCCTTTTCACAGCAACCTTTCTTTTTCTGAAACAGTATTTCAAAGTTACATGCAACCTCTTGGAGCCTGTCAGTATCAGGTTTTATACAGCCAATGTGATGGTGGGGTGGTTTTTTTGGTTGTTCAGAATCAGTTCTATGAAGTGACTGAGATAGTTTGAAGCTTATCTTAGTATTTGTATTTTATGCTGCTGACTAGCAACATTTTGAAGTAAAGTCTACCTGGGAATAAAAAAATTGTTTTCAGACCTCTTTTTGCCTAGCCAAAAGAATCTGTTGCCTGTATTTTATTTTTAAAAATAAAACTTTAGTAACGTACTTCTGGCAAAGTGCCTCAAAATGCATCATGTTACATCTAATAACATGCAAAGCAGCCTGTCTTTAAGGAGAGATAGAAAGCTAATGTTGTGTTAAATGGATAACTTCAAAGTTTTCATCTCAAAATGGCATATGACGTAAAACCTTAAGCTTTAAGTTCCTTTGTTTTTCCAAATAAATATTTCAAGCTATGTGATCGGATATTTTTTCCATATTTTTCAAAATAAAGGAAAATGCTGACCACAAATGTGGTATGTTCTGTCATCTCTTTTGCTTATCAGTGAGAAGATCCAACATAGACCATGAATTAATTGTACAATAAAGCAGCATTAGGGAGAAATTTAAAATTCAAGCTTGAAAGTCAGAATAAGTGTTATAATAAATTTGTATAAATAGAATGTATGCCATTATAAAATATAATATAGTAGTGGCTGCTACTGTAATTTCAAGTCACTGTTTATATACAACATATTCTTGTTGATCTCTGATCTTGTAATCCATGGAATTTGTAGATTTGCTCAGAGTCTTACATATGTTTAGGAACTGTGCCCTAACAACATGAAATTTCACTTTTGAGAGAGAGGGGAATCAGTATAATGTTTTCTGAGCTGCGTTATTCTTATCGCTTATTTGGGAGCAGTTCAGTATTGCAGATTTGGACATCATTGACTCAAATCTTACAAAGTGCCTGAGAAAGAAAAACAGTATGCAATTGTGCAGTTAAGATTTGTTCATAAAGAAAATGCTACTAGTTTTTTATAACCGCTTGTCTTAGTTTTAACAAAATCTTTGAAGCATCTTATGGACAACTGTGCAAATATTTTGTTTTTTCTTTCTTATTGTCAAATAAGTTGGGTTTTGGTTTGGTTTTGGGGGGGGTAATTGCATGCGTGTTTTTAATGGAGAGGGAAAGGAGTTACAAGAGGTTGAATACAGGAGGAAGAATTGAACTCTTAGACTATTCTAAGATGTAGCTTACGTTTGGAAAGAGTTTGAGAACCCATGCTGTCGTCTTAAAAATAGCATGCATGTTGGAATGTTAGATTTGTCCCATAAGACTCAGAATTTAATTCAGTAAAAAACGCAAATAATTACTGAAACAGTGTAATTAGTATGAGCACAGTAATATATGCCAAGAAACATGAAATTGTTAAATACTGTGCTGGGATGAAAAGGGAAGGATAGACAGTAATCATCAATCTAGATGACCACTGGATGGCATATTTGTTCCATGGAATGACATCTGAAAACTCACTCATCTGGACTTAAAAGTTGACTTTTATAGGTAATTGTTTGGCAAGAATGCCAGCCCTCTTATTTATAAACGTGTGTGTGCTTCAGTATCCAGACCCAAGCTCTTTTCTGTGATGAAGTTCCTCAAAGTCAAAAAGGATATATTGATAGAGTTTTTCCCATTAGACTGAAAAAAACTGTAGGCCCAACTATGATTAAAACATTTTATATGTATATATTCCATGTAACATTTTAAAAAAAATAAATAGATGTAGTCACAGATAGTAGATCACCAGAAGGAGGTGATTCTGTCCAGGAGTTACAGTGACAGTCTTCGTACAGTGCTAATTGCATTGATTTTGATAATTTCATTGGTATCAGGGTTTGTGCCCAAATTAATTGTTTGTGTTGATTTCAGCAATATTTGTTTATTTATAATGTGGTTACAGATCTGTACTCTAAAGAAAAATTGGAATAGCTAAAATGCGAAGCAGAAGGAAGGTAAAAGATTGATTGTAATTTCTTCAGCTGTTAAGTAAAAGTAGAGATAAGTATAAATTTTTCTTAAAAATTATGTTCTTGAAGTCAAGAGTGCTGTCTTGATTTTTGTATGGATGATTGCTTGAAGGAGATGAAAGTAACTCAATCCTGGCAACCTGATCTGGAAATACGGGATTGAGACTGTATACTTACTGCTAGCCAGATTGTGCATCACTCTGTGATAAATGCTTGCTAAAGCGAGTGAGATCATGGGGGCTGTATGTAGAAGAAGCATGTGAGTATCCTGCTCAAGTAATAATTTATCAAGATCCTTTGAGTCCTTGTGCTCAGGTCACCTCAGCAGGCAGCAGTACCCAGGCACTGCCAGACCCCATGGGGCAGCAGTGCCACCTTTGCACCCATAGAGATGTGAGGGTCCACTGGGAATCAATACTGCATTTTTTTTTTAACTGCACAAGCTGGTTAATGTTTTGTAGTTTGGTCAGTTTTAGGTTTATCTTGAAATTCCGGGCTCAAGTCTGTTTTCCAGTAGCCTCCACTATGTTACATAGTTTTGAGTTTGTGTTATGATAACTGCCTTTTGCCGTGGTTTAAAAGGCCTGCCGGATTTGGGTCTTACGGGTCCTGGGTAGATTACCTTGGGTGATGCTCATTTGATTTCAGTGTTGAGGTTTTTAACACCCCAAAATAAAAGTTTTTTCCCCCTTTTCAGTTTTAGTTGCTGTTTTTCATTTGTTTTTAGAATCTTTTTAACTCATCACTGTTAGTTGTTATGTGTCCAAGTACATTTGTCAGCCTTCATATTTGGGGGCAGTTTCACACCTGGCTGGACAAGGCCAAAGACTAGTTCAGTCATCTATTCACTGAATGGATAGGAGCCCAGTTTCTTCATGGTGGCTTTTGTGACCCTCCAATGGATGTCACATACATATCATGTGAAATGTAAAAATGAAAATCCTTTAGACTCAGCATGAAAACCATCAAGGCAGGAGATCAATTTTGTGACACTATCCTCAGGAATCTTATTCCAAGAGAAGAAATGAAGTGCTTAGTACTCATGGAAAATAATAAAAGCTCATTTGTGTAGCATTTTTCTGACAATCATTGTAGAATTTTTAATTTTCTGCCTCAAGTGTTCAGCACATTTCTCCAAATTTATACAAAGAAAAATCCCTTCTTAACTTCCCCTGTAAAAGAAAACAAAACCAGTATCTAACAAACCACAGAAGTCTTCCACCAAAATTGGCTACGCCAGTGCGGATATCGAGGAGAGTATGGGAGGGCAAGGAGGACCTAGATTATGGATTTCTAGATTTCTCTCCTTGTTTTCTCAGACCTTACTTGTAGGCATTAAACTTGTTGGGAGGTGACAAAGTATTCTACGATGACATCTATGTAATTTTTTTTTAAATCCTTTAAATTAAGCTTTTATTTGTTTGCTTTATGCAGTAGTATGAGTCTGGACTTGGATGTATGTGGATCTTTTCCATATATATTCTCGAAGGTTGTGTAATCACTCCTAGAATATGCTGAAATACAGTATTTTTGTCAGTAATAGCTCCTAAACATAAGGTGCTAAAAACAGATCGTTGTTTCCACAGTTACCAGTCATACCTCATAGAGGTAGGAGGGAAAAGATGCTTAGGACATACAGGTATGGAAACTCAACTTTGCTAGTCAGTACTTCCTTAAGCTGTTAGGAAGGGTATTGCAGGGCAAACAGTGGTCTGGGAAGTGCTGCTATCATCTTCTCAAATGCAGCTCATTTTTCTACAATTAGTTGACATGTTCAACTGGTTTTTTCATGTTGCCTGAGAAAATACTAGGGCATATTCAAACCACACTTGGAACGCAAACTTACCTATGAACTCATCATGGTCAAGAATCTTTCCTGACTATTGCTGAAAATGCTTTGGTGCCCATTTTGATAGGAACTTGTGAAACAATGCAGGATTCCAAATTCACGTTTTTGCTTTTAATGTCTGTGGGGTGTTCTGTTTATTTTCTAATTTCACTCCTAGTTCTCAGCATAAAGAGAATAGCCAAATGTGATCATTAGAGGTGATCATTGCCTTTAGTTTCGTCACCATCCTGGTTTCATTGATATCACTGACTCTCAGATGAAGAAAACACACCTCTGTCACACCTTCTGTTACAGACAAATTGTCCTGCTTCTAAAATTTTCCTAATCTGATCAGAGAAATATTTAATTATTTCTGAATCTGGAATATATTCTATGAAAATGGAGACCCTGGTCGTTGTGCACAGCCACCAGGCATGTTGTATGATGATTACTTTTGGAGGAGTGGTTAAAATACAAAATCAATATATCACATGCAGAATTATTTTTATTTTGTTTTTTTCCCATTGTAGAGATGATGATGACATCAATGATGTTGCTTCTATGGCTGGCGTTAATCTTAATGAAGAAAGTGCCCGAATTATGGCTACCAACTCTGACTTGGTTGGAACCCAGATACAGTCCTGTAAAGATGAACCCTTTCTTGCTGCTATACCTCTGCATAAACGCATACTTGAAACGGGTGAGAAACACGTCCTTTCTTTTAATAGTGTTTCCTTTGGAGTTAATGCAATTCTGAGTAACAGAATATGCTTAGCACTTAAGATTGTTTTGTAAGCGTTTTATTACATAATCTTGTATTACTAAACTTTCAAGGTTTTTTGTGATAAAAGTAACTTGTTTATCTCAAATTGGAAAAAATAGTATACTGGTACTTTTGTACTTCATGCTTTCCCCATGTTTTTTATATCCAAGGATCTCAATGCTCTTTGCAAACATTAATTATTTCTCTCAATGCTCCTTCATGTTTTACACATGAGAAGATTGAAACAGAGAGGTAAAGTAAGTAGTACAGGTCACAGAGGACACCTGTGAATAAAGATATAACAGAATTTTGAAGTTATCTTTCAAGATTTGCTTTCCTCATACAAACCAGTCATGGAGTTCTTAACACCTGCATCTATTTAAGATCATAGTGATTTTCTTATAGCATTTTTTCAAAAAGCATTTTCAAAAAATATGTATTTATTTGGAAGCTAAAAACTTCAGTTGAAAAAATAACTTGAAAATCAGTGATCTTTTAAGGTTAGTAAGTACACGCAGAATGTATTTTATGACATACTTCATTAATATAGTACGTATGTTCTAGTACCTAAATTTATCTTTTTCAACATCATTTTGGTAATTTTTTCAGAGCTATCAGTGTCTTAAGATACTAAGCTCTAATTGTTTAGGGACATAAATCATATATTTCTTTCAGAACGATGCTTACGTCACTAGTTACATTTGTAAAATTTTTAGGGATTTAGTTCTCATAATTTTAAAGATCAGACCAAGTCTTGTTTCAAATCAGTACAGTTAGGTTTTTAAGTCATGCAGTTACTTTTGAAATGTTACTTGTGTTTATGTTCATTGAATTAATGGAAGCCTTTTTATATTGCAGTTGCAGGCAAAGTTCTTCATTGACATATTATCAAGCTTCACTCTTGTATTTTAATTAGTGCCCTTTCAAGTTCTCATTCAGAGAAAAGAATGATTTTGCATGCTATAGTTATCATGTTGCAATGATGTGATGATGGCATTATGTGATGCAGTCTGTGACAGTGTACGTGCAACATTTTGTGACATGACTTACCACCACTGAGATAGGAAGCCAGCAATGTTTTAATGAAATTTGTTTGAGTAACTGTTGTGAGGGTTGCTCACATAATAGTTTATACAGGTGTAAGAAAACAAAAAGGAAACAGACATAAAACTGTTAAAGAGAATGGGAAATCAGTAATGAATGTGCCATATAAGCCTTAATGAACTGTCTGGGTGTAACAATTGCTGCACAACATGGCGCTGTAATTACAAGTGTAGGACTTACAGGAATTTGTACATACTTTAAGAGCCACAGAACCCATCACACTATTCATCACTGCCTTTTGGGGTTTGCTTCTCTGAGGAGCAAATCCCTATGGCTGTTTTTGAAGCTTTATTGGCTTTGATAATTGAAATGAAACTTTCAAAGCTTTTAAAAGCAGCTGCAGGGATTTACTTCTCAAAAGCAGTGAATCCAGAAGAGTAGCCACTCCTAGTGATCTCCTGCAGCCACTTTTAGAGCTTTGTTTTGGCTTTACATGAAGCCTTTTACAGTTTTGAAAGTGGCTGTGGGGTTCACTAGTGGCTACTATCTGGGATCTATGGCTCTCGAGGAGAGAATTCCTTCAGCTGATTTTGAAGTTTTAGAAGCTTGGTTTTCACTGTGTGTGGCCAGATTTGTTGATTGCATAGGACCACACACAAATTTAGTAGTTTGTGCTACTGGGCACTTAAAATAATGACATTGTAAGTTCACGTCAAAACTCAGTCTTACCATATGTTGCTGTGTCTGGACACACCAGGACTAAGCAAAGGAGGCTGTGACCTTCTCAAGCACATTAGGGGGAGAAAAAAAAAGTATGTTATGTGAGTCCCCATTCTGTTTTCATTATGCCTGTTGACAAATGAGATAAAATACATTGTTTCTTCTTACTTTTACCTGAATGTGACTTAAACAGATCTATTTTCTACCTTTAAATCTATTCGTATTTAATGATCGTTTTAGTTTTAGGGCACGTTTTTAATGTTTTAGTAAAAAAGAGATTTGTGGTATGTACAGTATTAGGAAACTGTTCTTCTCTCCTTTCTCAGAAGCTAGATCTTTCAAGTTTTCTCTAATATTAATCTCCTCTCTTTTCTGAGTAAGAGCTCTGTCGAGCAACTCAGTAGTGTTCCCCAAAGGCTGTTTCAGAGATTGTGCTTCCATTCACCAGAGTCAGAATACAAACTGCTAAAGTGAGAGCAGATGCTATTGAGTCTTTGGCAGTAACCACCAGCCAAATGCCTCAAAGTTATAGTGAAAGAGGTTTCTTAATATATTGTATGTTCTTATCTCTGCTGTAACTTGGCAGCGTTATCATCCAAAGTTTATTTTAAATCTAAATGACTGATATTATTATTGATCTTTTTAAATGGAAGAAGTCACTGAAAGGTAATTAATGCAAAGATATTCATCCACTTCCCACATGTTTCCGTATCCAATTTTGTATCTAGTCATCTTTGGCTAGGAATCATTGCCATTTGTTCATATAGGAAGACAGGGCTGAGACTGTTTCAACTTCTTTGATGCAAAATCAAGAGTGGGTATTTCTTAGCAGATAACGTATTTCTTTTGCTATTCCATTCAGGATCATAAAACTTTAAACCCTGATCTTTCTACGTGACAGCACAGCACAATGAAACATATGCAAAGAGTTGTAAGGCTTTTGTTTCTCTTTCTGGGAAGTCAAGAGGCAGAGGTTGATGTTCTTCATGCATGTGCATGCTGATGTGCATATAAATTCCTAAAACTTTCTAGGTCTTTAATTTTATTGGTAAATTGCATAGTTTTTCTTTAAAGGGCAAAATAAGCTGATTAGACCCTCACAAATAAATAACGCTGAAGAATCCTAGCTTTTTTTGTGTGGTTTTAGGGGAAAGAAACAAGAAAAATAACCTTAACAATTTGTGATTCTTTCACTTTTATTCATTCATAAGATGTTTCTTGGTGGGTAAGAATGCTATATTACTTAGGTTTTAGAAGCTAGTTTTTGACATTCTGAGTTTCCACTGTTTACCAAAAGGGACAACACTTTGATGACTAAAACAATATGACTTAGCATGTCAGTTTTCTCTGGTTTGTAACAGTCTTGTGAAAATAGAAATTAATTGACTCAGGAATTACTTTATTACACCATTGTTTCTGAGAGCAGATAAGAATTAGGCTGCACTCTATTTTATATTTAATATTAGTGAAAGGTAGCAGCACATAGTGAGGAATGGGATAAAAGGTGGCCCTTTTTACATTGCCTGATAAGTAAATCCATGGAAAAAAGGAACTCTCTGAGAGTTGGTGGTCTCTAGAACTCCACTAGTGGTTCGAAAAAACTTGGCTTTAAATTTTGTGGTCAACAGAGCATGATACCCTCACAAGCTTAGAGTCTGCAGCAGCTTATTAATTCCCACAGCTTTTGTTTTAATTCTCATTTCCTCTACAACCAGGTGATGCCATTTTGCTTTTCCTTGGCTATCCCTAAAATATCACAACTTGCGGAGAATCTTAACCATAAATTGTCTTAATGCAGTAATAATGAAACATAAGTTTGGCATACTGTATTCTTTGACTTAGATCGTTTCTTTCTCTCATTATCTTTCTCTTCACTGTCAGTGTTCTTCACCCAATTTTTCTACTTCAGTTTTTATTGTTACAGAGCACTGGCTGAATAAGATAATTTCAAGTGTGACATTCTAAGAAATGTGGGACTGGTTTGTCCTTATTGAATACATTTTAACTGTCCATCTTGTATTTTCAAATTATTTTTATTTCAATATGTGTGATAAAAATGTATTGGAGAATCGTTGATGATACTTTTTTTTTCACATTCATTCAGAATTATTTTTACATCTACATTAGGAAATCAGTTTTTCTATAGCATAATATTATGAAATACTGTATTTATGTCTGTTATCTAGCATTGTTAAAATTTCCTTTGGAAAAAGTCTATTATATTGACAACATAGGAAATGTTCCAGGTGTATGCTATCACAGAATTAGTACTGGATTCTCTTGCTTCATCCAAATAGATTTTTAGGCTAGAACACACGTAGTGGTGCAGGCCGATTATTATGAAGCTTGAAAATGTGCTGATGAATCCAAATTCTCCTAGTCCAGTAGTTTAAAAGCCTTACAGTCTTCCTTAAAACAGCTTCAGAGCAACTTGGCTTGATAGATTTAAGCCACTGTCTCTGTCAGTGTAACAATTGTAGGATTAAGCTCAACATAACTTCTAGATATAGCTTTTTGTTATTTTACATGTAATATATTTTTTAATTCTATCTGATGAAATATTGATCGTTGTTCTGCCTTGATTCTGTCTTTGTTCAATCACACTTTAATTTCATGTCTGCATGCATAAAAACGTATGTTAAAACATAAGGAAGTAGCTTATCTGTGTCTTCTGTATTCTAGAGTATATTGAATCTACTTATGTGGCATCACAGTGGCAGCCCAGTTGTATGCATATGTATCTATTTTAAATAAATAATTTGAATACTCTAGAGGGCATTTTATATTGCTAAACCATCTAAAAACTGATTGGGATATCCTTTATGAACCAGGCCAGTAGATTTCAGAGCCACTATTTCAAGCATTTGTTACTAGTTTAATAACAGAGTCATTCTGTCATCCCCCTTTCATCTGTTTGTTTGTCAACAGTTGTATTCATGTTTGAATGAGATGAAACTGTACTATTGGTGATTGCTCTTTCACGTACAGAGGAGTTCTAACTTAAAAGTATACTTATTTCTCTGGTTGGTTTACTTTAGAGGGTTTTTATATCTGCTTGGATAACAGTTGTGGGATCTGAAATTCTGAGCTATCAGATTGCTTGTGAACATAATTTTTTGTTTCACTGCTCGTTTTGTTGATGTGACTTAGTAATTTTCATTGTTGACTTGTAACTTTTTATCCATGAGTTGATTTGCCTTCAAACTGAAACATTCCTTTTAATACTAGTTTTTCCACCAGCATCTTTCTGTCAGGATGACCTCCTTAAATACCTGTGGACATAACTCTTTATTGCATTTAAAGATAGTTCTAACATGTACTTTTCTTAAGCATAGCATTTTGAAGTCATGAACTGTCCTAACAATGTGCTTAGTCTACTTGAACTGTACCTAGAGTGATGTTTTCTGTGATTCTAGTTGCCTTTTCTCAGGGAAAAAAGTTGTGTTAGGTATTGTGCAATCCAAATTGCAAGTTATTGTGCATGACAAATATGTTGACTTTCTCTAGTTCCTATAAACTTCAGTATGTCACCTGCAGAGATGTGGCAGATGTAGAGATGTATCTACATTCTGATATCTGGAATAGTTCTGTAACTTAGTGCAGAGTTAGGGGTTTTTTCCATTAGTATAAAACAAGCGATTGGCTAGAAATTTTATTTAAATTAGAAGGTGTGCACTGCTCCCAATCTTCTTATCAATGACCATAGTTGTGATAATTTAGTTTCCTATGTTGAGATCAGAGTTTATTGTACTTGTTCAGTAGAGAATCTCATTTTATAGTCCAACTTGGTCAATTGCTAATGTTACAATATTATAAGATAATTTTATGTTGTTTACATTTATTATTTTCTTTTCAAAAAAGGTGGGAATATATTCCCATCTTAGTATCAGCAGCAGTGTTGCCAAATAAACATAACCAGTAAGTATTTCAGCAGAATGTTAAACTGTATTGTTGTTCTTTCTTTAATAGGTCCATGATTAGACTTCCTGCTTTACAAGATGTCCCAACATGTGTTGGAATGGTAACTTCAGTACCATCTGAGAGCTTGGAGTCTGCCTTTCTGTGAAAGGTAGGGCAGCTTCCGTTCAATATTTTTTGTGTATTTCTAAGGTTTTCTTTTTATTAATCTTATTGGTTCTGCAACACTACAGAATCTGACTTATGCTTTTAGCAGTACCACCTCTAACTACCAGAAGTGATGTTACATCAAGCAGTAATTTCTCAAAATAAATGCAGATATGTTCAAACTATGATTATTTATGAAGAAAATGAAGTTGTTTCTTCACACATAATTTTCAAAGGTTTTACTCCAACTGAACTGAGAGCATGACCATACTACTTGCTCCCAGAAATACTCTGAGAATTCAAGTTTTGTTTTCACCATAATACCTTGCTTCTGTTTTATGAATGTAGTGGAACAGCCTTCTTTAAAAGGTCTTGCTATTTCTGGAAGGCAGTTCTGGCTTTCAAGGCCTACCAAAATACATTTGCCCGCCTCAGGAAAGTTTGTATCTGGAAACTGGCTTAAATTTCTTGGTCTCTGCAAAGGATGGTAAAATTAAGATCATCATTCTGTGGAGATTCATTCTCTACCAGATTCATTTATAAGGTCCGTCATAAAGAGATTTCTGGTAATAAATACTGGATGTAAAATAAGAACGATAAAAAGAAAACCTTAGAGAACCATTCAATATTGCAATAAAGCTGACTTACATTATCCCTATAGGCAAACTCCATGCTCTAGAGGTGGTACTAATGTCCCCAACTCTCAACACATGTTGGAACATCTTTGTGGAGGAGGAAGTCATTGATCAATGAGCAGCATCTTCAAGGATCGTTTAAGGGGGAAAAAGTAAAAGGTAATATTTTCTAAAACGTGTTGAAATGACTGTTCATTACGTTTATTTGGCAATCCTGCTGCTCATACTAAGGTTGTAATGTTTTCATTTCTTAAAATTATTGAAAAACCTCATAAACTTCACTTTAGTCTTCTCCCACGAGTATGAATTGCATTTGTTAGCCTCCTTCATGTTGCTGAGTCTACTGCATACAAAGTCCGGATTCTACTATAACTCATTGGCAAGTAGACACTTCTTTTCAGTGCTTATAATATGGAGAGTGTTAGTCTGTGGTTTAACCAGTTTTGCAGTGTCTAGTGTTAAATAAGTCACAACCAAATGTTGCAAAGCGTTGAACTGGTACAAAGGCATTCTACTGGTAACAAAGGGATATTTGTTTTCAAGGAAGTAGCTGGAACACTGGACCTTGCGCCAGATGAGGTACCACTATCTGTTCTTGCACAATAACGTAGAAGTGCAACTTTAATATCAACTGTTGTAAACTGCAGCTATTTTGACAAAATCAAATGACTGTCTGATCTAGATAAATTATGTAGTGGTAGATGAACTGGTGATGCACAGATTTGGTATTAATAAATGTGGCATAATGTCCTGATCTTGACAACTTTTCCCCTAATACTGGACATACACAGATGAAGGTGCTGACGTTTTGAAATTCAGCTTATGATCTTCGGTCTGCCCTTCTGGTATCCTTTTTAATTTCCTGTATTCTTTGTGTATATCCTTTCCGACTGACATGCCCCCGCCACCTCCTTAAGATGAGGCCTCATGTTGAGCTAGCCTGCCTGGCATCAGGCTTGTAGTGGACAACTGTGATACCTGCTCAGACATGTCACCAACAAGACTTTTACAGTGTCAGAGAGGTGATTTCTCCAGGAAAAAAAAAGCCAAAATGTCTGCATTGTTTACAGAAGTTGTTTTAAAAGAATAGAAGCATATAGGCAAATTCTTATACTTGGTATTCCTTTTAATCCTTGTGTGGATGTGATTGAGAGTGTGTTCTGATACTACAAGGACTATGTTACAGGATACTGGCATGTGTGCCTCCGCATGTGTTTGTCATCTCTGACATTCTTATAAGAGAGTTCTTCTCCGTCTTTGTCTCACCTGACATACTCTCATAATAGTATACTGCTTGTATGTAAGCCTGAGGTCTGTAATGGTTTAGTGTCTTTTGATCTTGGGCTTAGCCCAAGAAGCACATTCTTCTACCCCGCATGAATACAGGTAGGACATAAATCCCCAACTAACAACTTCTCTGTTGTTTTCTTAAGGACTCTTATTGGTGTCATTGCCATATTAGTTCTTTCTCATCTGGTCCCTCTAACAATCTCTTTTGATTTGACTCTGTAGTGAGTAACCAAATACAAAAGTGCACTGAGGCATGTACTATTATTCAAAAAATAGTGAACTTATTTTCCAGTTCTCTACAGTCCTTCTGTTTGTTCTTGAATATTCCTGAATGTCTTTGGACATGCTTATTATGTTGTATTGTATTTATGTTTTGAGAAAACTAACATTAAAAAAAAATAATCATATAACTGTAATCTGTGTATTCTCATTTGGCTTGTTAAGACCTGCAACTATTTCAGTTCTCATCCCCTCCTCTGTCTTCTATGTTTTCCTCACACTGTGCAGTCACTGCAGCACACATTACTGGGATTATGGAGTAGAATCTGAATGTAGTTCTCAGAAATTCTTTGACCTTCAGTGCCTTTCTTTTAGTAACTTCAGCATCCTCCCTTCTTTTAGGATATACACATGAAATTGCACAAAAGTAATCTTAAAGAGGAGTTATTGAAAAAGAAGGAATTAAACATCAAAATTAAGGATAACGTGTTTCCTTAGCGCATTGAGATTTTGATTTCTTCCAAAAGAAATTAGCTAATATACAGTTTAGTTATAGAAAAAAATGGGGAAAAGGTTAATAGTATAGCTTCTGTTCCTTCAGAGTTTACATTCTTTCTGTCCTCTCAGATCAAGCCATAAGGTTCCTTGCCATCTGAATACCAGGTATACTCTTCTCCTAGATGCACTGCTTGTATGTTCATGCATCCATGATTTGTGGCAACTCTGTCCATTTTCCAAGCCTCCACATACCTGTGTATAATGTTGTTTGGTGACTAACTTGGTTCTGTTAGAGACAAACCACCAAGGATAATAAAAAGACTCTTTAGGGATGATTAATAGCTACCTTTCAGCTGTTTAATTATCTAGCTTAGAGACAGAATTTTGGAAACTGGATTGTCTAGTTATATATATTTTAGGTCAGACCTCTTCTCAAATCAGTTCTTTCTTTTTGCCAAAAAGTATGAATTATGTGTGGGTTCCCAGACTTACCCACATGGTTGAAAATTCTTAGCGAAGTGAAGGCTTTTTTTGTCATTCTTACATGACTTTCATCAAAAAACACTAAATCGTGTAAGTAGGGTTAAGTAGAGTTCTTGAGAAATTATTTTTCTACTTCATTAATATTTTTTGTCCTGCCTCAAATCCCACCAACTTGTGTAAGAGCTTTGAATCACCACAGAAAATAGGATCAGACATTTTGGCCTGGTTTACACATAGATTTTGCATTGATACAACTATTTCTCTGGCTCTGTTGTGTCAAAATAATTTTACCAATATGACCCTCTAGAATGGAGCTATTTTTCTGGTTTTCCCTTTACAGGAATTTGGGATATGGTATGAAGTTAGAAGGTAAAAGTTCAAAAATACATTTTTTTTGGCTGGGTGAGTAGTTAAGTTGTGGAACTCTCTGTTTTAGGATGTTGCAGGTTCAAAAAATTACTTGAAAAATTGATGGGAAAAAAATTCCATCCTGACCCAATAGGGAGAAAAATAAGATCCTCTAACTTAGGATGGTCCTAGGCTGTATATCATCACATAGTCATCACTGTACACTTTTTGGGTTTGTTTGGTGTTTTTTTTCATTTAATAGTCTTGTAGCAGCATCTCCCACTACTGCTGTTAGAGAAAGGATGCTGGACTATATTACCCAGTATAACTTTTCTGGGTACATAATATACATAACTATTTATTATAGCATAGTTTGTACTGAGTAAGTTAAATTCACTATGGTACCTGAAGCAAGCTTTATGAGTGATTTTGTACCAGTGCGTTCACACTAAAGAGTTTATGAGTCTTAGTTGAATCTTGCCAGCCAAATTATTTTAGCAAAGTATTTATTTTGGAGGGAATAAGGAGAGAAGAGGGTTTTAAAATTTGTGTCACATTCATTCAGAATTTTTATTCCTTTAGGTTACATTACAATTGTATGGCTGATATATTTTTTTCTTCTGTGTCTTGCACTGAAAATAAAATGGCTATGTGTTTTGAGGATTTTAATCTGTAAGTTTGGAGTTTATTAATTTATTTTTTTTAAAAGTAATGGATGTTTTACCAGTTTCTCAATTTCACAAAATGCTTCCTGGGGAATCATCTCAAGGTGGGTAGATCTGAAGAAGGACAGAACAAATAGTACACCCAGCACTTCTTGCATTCTCAAGAAGACTGTCCACTTTTATCCAGAAGCTGGCTCATGAGATAATTTTTATCCTATGAGAGGAGGAATGTTCTTTTACATACAAGCTTACTGAAGTAATTAATGTAAGGTTGTCGGTTATTAATTGTAAATAACAATCACATGGTGATAAAAAGTCATTCTCTTTAACAAATACAGTTTATTACTTATGAAAGTGAACTGGAAATATAGTGTTGAACAGTATCAGATACTGGTTTAAAAAATCTTTCCCATTCCAGTTCAGGGCTGGTTTGGAACTGTGGAATATATTTTGGCCATCTGCCCCTCACGGAGGGATGCTGGTTTGTACCTGCTAGAGGGAATAATTTACCAAATCTCAAAGCACTTGGCACTAATTCTCTCTAGCTTGGCAGGAAACACTCCCTAGCCCGTGGCTTCCCTAAACAAACTCCAGGTTATAGGTTCCTCAGAGGTGCCTGCTCAAAAGACTTCATTTGGATTGGCTGTTTTTGTGAAGGTAGCAATTAAAGTTTTTTGGTTTTTCCTTAATTCATCCTGTCTTCCAGCACCAGACAGGCTTAACAGTACAGCAAGTTAACATTTATTGAATTATTTATACATTTAGTTGGTAAAACTTTAAGTGAAGGTTTTATTTAAA